GTCTAAATGTTGTGCAGCAAACTTTAAAGGAGCTTCAACATGCTGTTTCTTCAGCAGTGGAGTCTTGCGTGGTGTATTGTTTTCTTTGAAACAATCGTACCTGCTAATTCCAGGTCTTTCTGAAGCTCTCCACAAGTGGTCCTTGGCTCTTACACCTTATTACACCTTATTCAAAATCAATGCGGTCCCACGGCCCTCCCAAAGTTAAAAACTGTTGTTCTTTTGAGGCCCTCAAGGTGGCGCTGGGCCACGGCCCAATTATCTCTGTTTTAAATGACAGTCTCACTGCGTCCAACCTCAGCAGAAACGGCACGCTGTGAGAGAACAGATATGCAGATCAGCAATCCGACTGCGTTCAAAGAGAAAAGGCTTGTTTGCTTTGCCATCAGGAGGTCATGACACTGTGAATACCTGACAGACAATGACACCAAATCCATATTTTTAGTGAAGATTTAGGCTTTTAAATCCTGTTTTTAAACTTTTGATCAGCTGATGAACAGAGTATTTCAGCTTTATGGTTGTTTGCAAAAATGCTTGCTCAATTATTTTTTGTCTCACTTTCATAACTTTTGCATTTTGAAGCTATACTTACAATCTTCTTACGACCCAACAGTGCAAAATGTGAAGACAAAACTTTCAGATCAGGAGTGTTGTTCAGTCGTCTGTAAACTGAGTCAACATGTTGCATCTGAAGCTGAAATAGTGACCAGTTCTGTCTCTGTTTTGTGGTCCAAGTGGAGCAGGTCTGAACCTCAGAGACCAGATGTGATGAGCCCTTCCAGAAACAGGTACACACACACACACACATGTTTATTTTTATATCCCTGTGGGGACAGTGGATTGACTACCATTCATTTTCTTGTAATTTTACACCCTAATCCTGACCATTTACCCTAAAACTAACCTCAGCTCAGTCCACACCTTGGTCCTAAACCCAGGTGTTGTGTAAAATGTGAGAAAACGTGTCAGATTAGGAGGTCCTGCTGGACGTGACCTGTAAGATGTTTCTGTGTGGAACTGCAGGGTGGTGGTCAGCCTCCAGCATCACTCCAACACCTCAGAGGAGATCGGTTCTGATGCCACGTCTGTCCTCAGCCCACCCAGTTCTCCCAGTCCTGGAGCCAGTGTGAGCAGCAGTACCTGTGAGAGCCCCCAGAACTTCAGTTTCCTCTGATGATGTCCGGTACACAGCTCCGTTTGCTTCTTTGGACCAGAACTGCCAATCAAACCCAGGAGGAGGACGATTTTTATCAAACAGCAGCTGTAAACTGAACAAAGTGACTTATAGAATAATTAGTTCTGAAGTCCAATGGTTCGATTTCCTGTTTGTCTTTTCATGTTGCACCAAAAACCAGGAGAGCCCGTCTGGTGCTGGTGTGAGCGTGAGCTGGGCTTCAGCTGGAACCTGGATTTTCAGCATCCGTTGGTTTTTCTTTTATTAGATTATTTCTGGAAGCTGGTTAACGTGCCTCCAGGTGATGCAGTGTTGATGTTTGCAGATGTTTGGATGAGTTTAACTGCAGAATGTGTCCAAATGGTTCTTCAGTGTTAACGGTCCTCTACAGGAGAAAAGAGCTTTARTGAGCTGGTTCAAACAGAAACGTGCTCTGTGTGAGATCAGATCAGACGGGACAAATCCCAGGAGGAGCTCCGTGTGCAGCTTTCTACACGATGGCCTTGTGGTTCCTGTTTGTTCTGCAGCACAGTTTACAGATCACACACACTGCCATTTTATTCTGCCTGCAAGCCTTCGCAGCAGTTTATTAGTGGCCTTTTACTGATGGTTGAAGACACACACACACCGTCTCTGTCCAAACTGAGCAGTTGGACTCAGACTTCGTTAAAACTGAGTGTAGGCTTCATGCTTTATTTTATTCCTACAAGCCTTTCAGCAGCTTTAATAGAGTCTCCAACATGTCTCAGAAAATGTGTGCCACAGATTTGTTCTCAGGAAGTCTCCAGTCCACCTCAGAGCAGTAGATCTGTAAGTGACACCTGCAGGAGAATCTTCTCAGACATAAACCTGTCTGTGTCTAAATAATCCATGTTCAGAAAGTGCTCCTAAATTGTGTGCTTAAGTAAAATAAATCATAAACGTGGCGGCCGCCAAAGTGGGTATGATGTGTGCAGAGGTGAGCAACTAAATAATCTGCAGGATTACAGTTGTGCTCATCAAAATAAGCTGATTTGATTTATTTATTTAACACACAAAAAGTGAAACAAAAAGAATACAACAATTCAAAATGGCATATTTCAGGTGCAAGGGAAGGGTAAAAGCCTGAAAAGCTGTGATTTATAGAAACCTAAGCACGGAGCTTACTGGTCGCAGTCAGAATTCAGTGAGACCGCAAAATAAATAAATAAGATATCTGGTTTTGCAATTTTCCTGAAAACTTGAGTCTTCACCAATCAGCCCAGTAACATACTGGTTTTATGGAGTGTGTGTGTGTGTGTGTGTGTGTGTGTGTGTGTGTGTGTGTGTGTGTGTGTGTGTGTGTGT